AATGGAGTGACTGAGTTGATTCAATTTATAGAATTAAGAGAACATAATCAAATAAATGTTATAAAGCCTATGTAGCAAATACTTGCTGTTTTCTCCTTGTGCTAAGTGGTAGAATAGACTTTGTTTCTGATAGTCAAAGTCTGCCATTCTTCCTTCACTTTCCACTGACAGGTAGAATTCTCATCCCTATTATTCCTCCTCTTGATGTTTTCTAATCTTTCTCTTCTGCTGTAGTAACAACCTACTATTTCACTTTTTATTATCTTGACTGCTCTTGTAGCAAGTTACTTGTTTTACTCTTAACTTTTACCAACTTTGAACTGATTTTCTGTTTTATATCTTCATTCATGCTAATGACAAAGTATTCTTTGAAAAAAAAAAAAAAAAAAAGAAAACATCTAGTCCTGGTACTCCATTGCTTGATGTTCATTACAGATTATCATTTCTTCATTTTTACACTGTATTAGTGTGCAGACTGCTTGCTACTTTATAACTTTTTCAGTTTACTTCAGGATTCAACCACAACTTGTTTGTATTTAAGTGGGGAATGTTTGAGGTAGTGTTGACAGAATAGGAATTAATACACATCTAAAAAACTTACAGTACTGTGTATGTGATCATTTACTCATATCTGTGTTTTATTACTGTGAAACAGAAAACTTAAGTGAGTTAATTGCCTTTGTAGATTCTCTTCAGATAAAAAGATTTGGGTTTCTTACTCTTTTTTAGCATTGGATTGGACAATCTTAGAAGAATGGTTATATGAAACTATAGTATAGCTAGCTAGATCCTGTAAAACATCCAGTAATTTGGAAGTATCTTTTTTATTTGAATTTAAATTGACAGAAATACTGATATAAGTTTTGAACTCCTAGGATCATTATATGCCAATTGATGATTCAGTTTGTGCTGTTTTAGATATTTAAGATTTTTTTATATTAAAAATAGAACACCAAAATTCTCATCTCTTTAGAAATATAAAATTATAATATTTATATCCAGATAATGAATTAATGAGGAACCCTTTCTTTAACAGTCTTACTGAATTTTAGTTAAGTAAATAATTTATTGATGCTTATTGGCTCTGTAGAACCAAGCCAATTTTTCTGAATAGAGATTTTGGCTGAAGTCATATAATTTTAGCTGACTTTCATAATAGTAAACTTGTTTGATACACTTTCAGCTTTCTAGAAGCTTCCCCAAATTACTATGCTTTCAGTTTTGTATAGCAAAATAACATAATATTAGGAACCAGAGTATATTTGTTTTGCAATTAAGTTTCATATTGTTACTTCAAAAATACAAATTCCCTTTTAAGATTGGAGGTAGAGATAATTGTACATAGTGGTTTGACCATTGATGAATATGAAGTTTTACCTACATCTTACTTCTTTTGTTTAGTTCTTTCTACACAGTTCTTAGTTTTTGAATGCTTTAATAAAATAAGGAATTTAGGAAGAAGAGTAGTACTTAAGATTTACTAATTTTCAATGCCTAAAATGTAATTGTTGATACGTGGACATAAAACACTTTATATTACAATTTGAATTATCATTTATAGGATTAATTTTATAAGTGTGTTTATTCTAATTTCAAGGGTTCTGATGATTGTCTTGTGAAAATCTGGGCCACAGACGATGGAAGATTGCTAGCTACTTTAAGAGGACATGCTGCTGAAATATCAGACATGGCTGTAAACTATGAGAATACTATGATAGCAGCTGGAAGTTGTGATAAAATGATTCGTGTTTGGTGTCTTCGAACTTGTGCACCTTTGGCTGTTCTTCAGGGACACAGTGCATCTATTACATCACTACAGGTAGTTGTTGTAAGGCTTATTAAACCTTAAACCTTTTTTGATTACAATTTAATTAAGTTTTATGAAGTCACTTTTGTAATGTATCTAAGGTTTAAAACAGAAAAGTGTTTCTTTTAATGACAGCAATCTTGAATTTGGTCAATTCTGTGTTTTTGGTTACTATTAGTTTCTATTAGTTTGGTTTTTAAAGAAGGGTTTTATTATTTGGAATGTTTCTTTCCGTGTAAAGACTGTTTCCCCTATGATTGCTTTTCAGTTCTCACCGTTGTGCAGTGGCTCAAAGAGATACCTGTCTTCTACTGGGGCGGATGGCACTATTTGCTTTTGGCTTTGGGATGCTGGCACCCTTAAAATAAAGTCAGTTGCTATGTTATTTCCTAAAATAAGTATTTAATGGTTGAAAATGTAAAAGATACCAATAAAGGGAATATATTTGCTTTTTTCACTGTATGGATAACAGAAATAAGCTTTAATTATTTTACTAATCTCTTTCATTTTTTTATGCCTCGCCATTTTTTCTTCATACTTAAATTGGTTTTATTTATCTCGGTCTTTAGCCCAGTTGTTTTCTTAAGGATGTATGTTTTATTTCCATGTCCTTCTATGTGCTGTATAATTTAGTCTCATAGCTTAGTTTTGTGCTGAGAATATATTAGCATAGCTAACACTTTTTTTTTAATTTAGAATAATTCAGTTTACATTACTGGGTCTGTAAAACTTTAGATTTAGGAAAACAGTTTTCACTATGCCACATTAAGATAAGATACACATATTCCACAGTAGTATTTCACAATAGTATTTCACAGTTTTGCTTTCACCTCTGTTAAAGTCTTAGTTTGTAGGAGTGAAGAGATGCTTCACTAATTAGGAGCACCATATGATACAATATATCATATCATATCATATTCCAGTTCCAAGGACTCTGATGTCCATTTCTGACCTTTACAAGCATCAGCACATACATGACATAGTGTACAAACATACATACAGAAAGAACATTCACACAAAGAAAATAAATAGCCCTAAAACAATTTCTAAATTTTGGTAAATTGTTTTAGATCCATTATCAAACCAGGGTTACAAAACAAGTTAATGCTTTGATAAAGGACAGTGAAGTAACGAAAGGTAAAATGGTTTTCTCATCGCTGAAACCATTTCTTGAAAATTTGGTTCCAGGGAGTATTTTGCTTTATGTGCATTTTGTTTTTAAATAGGTTCTTACTTTGTAACCTATGTTGGCCGGAACTGACTATATTACCCAGCCTGACCTTAACTTTGAGTAGTCATCTTGATTCAGTATCCATGGGCTGGGATTAAGGATCATTTATTTGCATTATTTATTGTTTCTTAGAGTCATCAAAAACTGAAAACTCTTCTAATTTTAATGCTGTGCTTTGTTAAAAGTTAGACAGTGTACATGGACACACAGCCCTAATCATTACTGCTTTTTCTTCTCTGATAGAAAACAGTAGGTGAAAACAGGATTTTAAATATAATTATTATAGTATAATATGTACATTCTTAAAATCTCTGCTGTAATTTTAGTTTTTCAACATAGTTGATTGTAATATTAAACGTTATCTCAAAAATGTTAATCTCTAAAAAATCTGTAGTGTAGCTGTAACTAGTAAATATGGTTGAATATAATCTATTTTATGTGACTCATACTATTTTGAAGGAATTTCATTGTTGAGATGAGTCACATTGCCTTCAGATTTTCTTTAGTATAAAAGGTAAGTTGTGTTTTGGAAGAATATTTTGTCATGGTGTATTGCCAGGTGATCAAGAGCTGGATGGCTTAGTAGGTGAAGTGCCTGCTCTGCAGGCATGAGCAGCTGAGTTTGGAGCCTTATCACTCTGTAAAAAGTTGGATGTAGAGGTGCATCTGTTACCTCAGAGGCTGGGAGTAGCTTTAGGGCAGAGACGGGTGGGGCTTGCTGTGTATCTGTGCTAGCCAGTCTGTGAGATCTAGTGCACTAAGAGATCTTGTCACAAAAATAAGGTGGAGGCATCAAGGACGACATATATCATAGGCTTTTGCCTTCCACACACATACATTCATGGGTCCCATACATATTCATTTGCTCTCCCCTCATCCAAACATATACACAGAACTTTAAACAGCAAGGAAAAAAAGCTCAATTAAAGCATTTATGTAATGATACATAGAACCCAGAAAGTTAACACCTTTTTTGCCAATGTGATCATTTTTATATTTAACTTACTTCCTTTTGTATTTATATGTCGCTATTCTACTATATGAAACTTGTTAAATTTGATTAAAAGTAGGTATAATTCATTTCCAGAGTGACAATGACTTTCGATTGTTCTATGTGCTGATATCTATACACATCAGAATGTACTGTGGAATTTATCAATTTTGAAAGGACTGCCGATAGAGTGTTTTTCTTTTGATTTTGTTTTTAGGAAGATAGCCATTTTTTTTTTTCAAGATCAGGTTTTAGAAGGGATTATTTCTTATGGCTCATTAGACTATTTTTAAATGATTATTATTTATTTTTAATATAGTCCAAGACCTACAAAATTTACAGAGCGCCCTCGGCCTGGAGTTCAGATGATTTGTTCTTCTTTCAGTGCTGGTATGATTGCTTACTTTTCAACCTAAAATTTTTCACTAGAAAGCACCTCTCAAAGTTAAAATTATGAAAATAATTTCTGCTGCATTGTGTAGCATATTTGCATATATAAACTAGAGCTAATAAATGAGTAAAAATCAAATTAGATTACTTTTCTGGGGTGTAGGGTATCTAAGCACATGAATGTCATGCTTTTCTAGGAGGAGGGAATAAGTAGTTTCAAAATTGACTGATTAAAGAATGAATCTTTATACCTTCTCAGTACAAATTATGTATTTATTTATTTTTCTGAGGCAGGGTTTCTCTATGTAGCCTTAGCTGTCCTGTGCTTGTTTTATGAACCATTTTGTCCTCTTGTCAGAGATGCTCCTCCTCTGCCTCTGCTGGGAGTAAAGGTGTGTGCCACTGCTGCCCAGCTTAAAAATTTTTTTTCCATAGAATTTGGCGGTGTTTCATAAAAATCAGTAAAACTTAAAAAAAAAATGATGTGTGTGTATCTGTCTTGTTCCAGAGTCATTTGCTTTAACATTGCTGATATTCTAGTTCTAATTAAGCTCATGCAGTAGCAGTTTTAATGATTGCCAGATGGTTTTATGATCTAAATATTTAAAGTGAATTGATTTTAAAAAAATTATGGCTATGATGTTCCCAATATCTGTTTCTCCAATTTTTTTTAATGTACTTTTGTCCATTTGATAATTGAAGTTGGCGGTATTAGCTAAGGGTAAAGAACAGTAAAGACCAGTGAATCTGTTGCTACTAAAATTTTTCACATTCTATGTATCCAGTACTGCTGCCATCTAGACAATGCTCTAGTTATAATGTAGGCATAGGCTCTGTACATGTACTTTCTATCATACTGTGGATTCATGCTTTTTCTAAAGATACATTGTTGTTTTTAAGGGTCCATTAAGTGAATCATTTAGAAAAAGTCTGTAAACTATTTCAGAGTGTATAATAACCTGATGCTATATCAGAGTTTTTCTCTTAAGAAGAGTAAAAATGTCATATAAATAGTGAATTTAAAGTAGAATATATATATACAGTGACATAAATGAACTTTGAGAAATACTGGCTCCTTGTATTGCAGAGTTTGTATTGTCAAGTTCCTGGGAAAATTAGAACTTGTAAGTAGGATAGAACTTATAATAAGTGGTTAAGAGGATAAAAGAAGACTCAGCAAAGTTAATAGTATCATGTAGAAGTTGTGTTTTACTTATAAAATTGTGCTGTTTTTCATAGGTGGAATGTTTTTGGCCACTGGAAGCACTGACCATATTATTAGAGTTTACTTTTTTGGATCAGGTCAACCAGAGAAAATATCAGAATTGGAGTTTCATACTGTGAGTATTGGAGAAAGAGCGAGGTGGGTGCAGTCTTAAGTGAGCCAACAGTTAAATATTCAGCTTCTGCTTTATTTTGTTTGCTTATACAGGATAAAGTTGACAGTATCCAGTTTTCCAACACTAGTAACAGGTAAAATATATTTGTCTTATTTAATTGTACATTAAAACTAGAAGGTAAAGATAACTGTAGTCATCAGAATAGAAGTTATTCATTCTTAAAGCACACTGTAGCCTTCTGAACCAATGTCTCACAATGTTAGATATTTGGATACTTTTCTAAATTGAAAATTTTTTTGATGTTCTGGTTTTTTTAAATCTATACCTTTTATTTCCTATCAGAAGAGACCCCTTTGATTAAAACTGAAATTTCACATTCTTATATTTATGACATTCCTGGATGTTAAAAGATGGTTTTCTGTAAATATTCTTTTGTTTTAAAAGAAAATATAGCTGCTTCTTGATACGTTGAATAGAACAAATCAAGGTCTTTGATACTGAACACCAACTCTTTTTTCCATTAGAAAATGTTAATTCTGTTTGTTAAGGGGTCTCAAACCATTTTGAATGTTATTTTTATCAACCTATTCATGACCTATTAAAATGGTCTTACAAGCTTATGATGCTTTGGGATTTCTTAGATTTATAGAGACATAGGGAACCATTTTTATTATATGAAATACTTTTAAATAAAAATGTTTTTTAAAAAGAACTTTTGAGAAAAGTATGTTTTGATAGAGCCTCTGATCCACTTTGTGGGGTTGGGCTTTTTTTTTTTTTTTTTTTTTTTCAGGTTTGTAAGTGGTAGTCGCGATGGGACAGCACGAATTTGGCAATTTAAACGAAGAGAATGGAAAAGCATTTTGTTAGATATGGCTACTCGTCCAGCAGGGTAAGAGATCAAGCTTGACATATTTATAGAGATTATTTAATATTATAATGTTAAAGGTTGGCGTGACTTTGCTTATAAAGTTGTATATCATGTTAAAATTATTAATTTTCTTTGTTGATTAGAGTTGCTGTTACTGATGAACAGGGCTGTGTGTGTTTGTGTTTGTGTGCGAAGTATTTCATTGCTCTTAATAAGACTTGCTCAGTTAATTTTTTAGTTAAGTTTTATTAAAGGATGAAGGTGTTTGCAACCAGATTATCTTACTTCGTTCCATGTCTGGATTTTGTTTATATTTGCTTTTGAGACTTGATCTCATAAACTGTACTGGGTTGTTTTGAACTGACTGTGTAGTCAGAAATGGCATTGGGCTCCTGATCTGCCTGCCTCTGTCTTTTCATCTGGTGCTAAAATTATAGGCATGTGGCACCACCCTTGGTTTTATTGTAGTGCTGGGGTTCTATTCCAGGCCTTTCTGCATGTTATTAGGCAAGCACCCTACCAACTAAGACCCTCAAAAGGATGACTCTATACCTAGTGGCTTCTTCAGCCAAGAGAAATTATGATAGACGTTGTAACTGTTGTTTTAATTTTACTGTTTGATCATTTCTCACTGTTTGTGTTTACGTATAGTTGTCTCAGTGAATATAGCATGGTAGCAATAGTAAAAGATGGTACCTGAGCTACATAGCATAGAGCTGCTGAACCATTGGTAGTAATAACAGTGTTATACCCCAGGGTCTCTGTTCATAACGGCTTACGGATTATCCTAGAAATCTTGCATTTTCTGAATCCATGCCATGACTTGTGCCATTGTCAGTTCCAGTGTTTTCAATTATAATAACTACTCATGTTAATAAATATAAACTATAAAGGAATACACATTTGATTTTTTATTTTTTGGTTTTTCGAGACAGGTTTTCTCCACACATTTTATCATTGTCTTGTATCTTACTAATATTAGTGTAAACAGATAAACTTGTCCTTTCCAGCCAAAATCTTCAAGGGATAGAAGACAAAATCACAAAAATGAAAGTAACTATGGTAGCTTGGGATCGACATGACAATACAGTTATAACTGCAGTTAATAACATGACTCTGAAAGTTTGGAATTCTTATACTGGTCAACTGATTCATGTCCTAATGGTAAGAAACAAAATCCAAATTTTTATATTAGTGAGGCTGACTGCAGAATGTAATCTAAAAATAAAATAGAATAAAGCCAGTGTGTTTAAAACCTCTTGCTTGCTTTTAATATTACTGACCCTGGTTGTAAAATGTAGTATAAATAAAATAAAGTAAGCCAGTGTGTTTAAAACCCCTTGCTGATAACTGGACTTGATAGGTAACGGGGAAAATTTTTCTTAAATGCAAGCAGGTGTGGCTTGGAAATTAAGTGCTTGCTGTGTTTGTTGTGTAAGAGCCCATTCATTTTATTCTTGAAGGTTAGTAATAATGTGTAAGGCATGGCAGTGCTCTTAGCACAGTTGTAGTGTTTAAACCTTTGTAAAGTTGAAATTTTTGCCAGTTTAATAATTCTTACCACTATTTTCTAGAATCATTGTCATTGTCTTTATAATTTTAAATATTTTTAAACTCTTTGGTACTTCAAAATATTTCAGGGTCATGAAGATGAGGTGTTTGTCCTTGAACCACACCCATTTGATCCTAGAGTTCTCTTTTCTGCTGGTCATGACGGAAATGTGATAGTATGGGATCTAGCAAGAGGAGTCAAAGTTCGGTCTTACTTCAACATGGTAATTATATTTCTTGTTTAATACTTGTTAAAGATGTGAGGAATCTTGACAGAAGGGCTCTGCATATCACAAGCGAAATCCATTTTAAAACGTCATGCCTTATTTTGACTTTAAATGTCTATTAATAAGGATCTGTATATTTATTGAGATGTTAACCTTAAAATCAGTTGTTTGTATTATAATGACTGTGTATTATGATAACTGGCTTAGTTTTACTCAGTTTAATTTTAGCAGTGAAACAGACCAGTAAGCTATGTAAATGAAGATATAGGGAAAAATGTCTTTGTGTTCATTCTTCTTGGCATTTTTTGTTTGTTTTTATGTTTATAAAACAGTTTGATTTGAGTACATCAATTTTAAAATTGAAGGTAAAGAATTAGGTATTTCTTAACTTTGGTCAAGTTGATACTGATATATTGGCTTCATGCCTTTTGCCTCTGCACTGTGGTTTCATGTGCATTTAGCTTGTTTTTGTTAAACATTTCAATTAGCATTGGTTTGATTACATTTGCAGCTTGCTAAGCAGTATCTGCCCTCCTCTTTCATCAATGTATGAAATAAAAGGATCCTTAAATAATGCACTTGATAGTCACGTAAAGACTACTTCCTCTTTTTGGGTTTCCAGTCAGCAAGAGGAAGGAAAGAAACATGTTTCTACTATTTTTACTTCTTAGATTTTTGAAGACAAATCTTTATTAAATCATAAGATTAGATATAATTAGCACAATCACACAGAAATTGTAATTATTTTGTAAGTTGAGTCATTTTCAGGCTGGGAATATAGTCTGGTAGAAATGCTTGCTCAGTGTGTGCAAGGCCTATAGTTTTTGATTGATTGAGGCCAGATTGATACCCCTTTCCCAATGTCATTTGTGAGATATAATACATGTGAAGAGACTGAATGACACTGAGTGCTCTTCTTGATTGAGTGTAAGAACAAAAAGTTTTGCTAGTGAAGTGATTAACTGTGGCCTTTGGATGTGCCTTAGTGTTCAGAAGGTAAGAAATAGTAATTGTACATTTCCCATTTTTATGAAGATGATTATTGGGTTAGTTGTTTTTGATGAATGGATTTCCTTTGTGATTATGTAGAGTTGTGTTATTTTCAAGCAAATTTGTAAATATAAAGTTCTTATCTGTTTTTTACTTTCATATTTCTGGATTGCTTCTTTTCTAAACATTTGTTGAATAAGGAAGTTGGTCATGTCTCAGTTGGTCCTTAATTGTGACTATGCACATTAGTAGTTTCACGTAGTAACGTAAATTTCCAAAGAGCAGTCTTACACTGCTATACAAATGAAGAATAATTTTTAGGCAGTTAAGCACTGATTCTGAATTTCCTCTCATCAGGTAAGTTTGGAAAAATCAACATTGCACCATTTCAGCAGACCTAAACATTGTAGCACTTTTAAATTTATTAATTTTCTGGTCCTGCCATTACAAATTAGCTATGTAGCTAGAAATTTGATTATAAAAATTATTTAATTCCTTTAAAATTATTTTTGCAGCAGTGTAGAGTAATCTGTTCACACTTGGAAGGTAGAATCAGGAGGATTTGGAATTGAAGGTCATTTTTGGCTGAGTGAGTTCCTCACCAGCCTGGGTTGTTGAAGACCACATCTTTGAAGAAAAGAAGAAAGGAAAATAATTTTGTGTTATTTTAGTTAAGGAGTTTTTTTCTGTTCTTTCTATGTCCAGTAAATAGTGAAACCTCCATAGTCCTGCTTAAATTATTTTGTAGTATTAGTGTCTAAAAACTGAGAGAAACAAACTAAAAAAATAAATAGGGCTGGAAAGGTGTATTAGAGGTTTAAGAGCACTGGCTGCTCTTCCAACGGTCTTGAATTCAATTCGTAGCAACCGCATGGTGACTCACAACTATCTATGTTGAGATCTAGTGTCCTCTTCTGTTGTGTAGGCACACATGCAGGCAGAACACTGATTACATAATAAATAAAATAATTAAATAAAACAATTATTCTTGGTACAGAAGATTTATAGAGTATTGCTACCTTTTGTTTCATTAAAAACAAGTTGTTGCCTTTATTTTTTAAAGTTTTTTTTTGTTGGTTTCTATATTTTAAATGATTTTTAATAGATTTCAGTGCACTTACCAACTACAAAATTGTGTCTTTATGAAAATCTTTTATACCAAGGGTAATTTTATTTCTGGTTTCATAGAGAAAGTGTTTATTACAAAGCCAAAGTACTTTGCTCAGCTTTGCTTTGGTCAGAGTATACAAATTCTATGTTTTATAAGACTATTATTAATGTGTTTTTAATACTAAATATATTTAGGGTGGTAGCTGAGAATATTTCACTATCACTGTATAACAATTACCAGCTAGACTCAGTTAGTGATGTGTCTAAGCAGTAACAATTTAACAGTGATAGAATTCCGAGTGGCTCTTCTGTGATCTTTATTTCACAATCTTTGTCAGTTATGTGACTTTATGTGACTACCATATTTCTTATTTGGTCTTAACTGTTTACTTCGTCGCCTTTTTTGATGTTTTTGGTATTTTTGTTGTTGTTGTTAGTTTGTTTTTTATGGGCAGGTTGGCATAAAAAACATCCATCACTGCTACTAAGAAATCGAAAACATCTTTTGGATGAAATAGCTCATGGTCTTACTGATCATTTTAGATATTTGGCTTTGTGTAACTAATCAGAACTGTTAAATATCATAACGCTTTGATGATTCCAGATGTAATCTCTGATGTTGGTTGTGCTTATCATCCCAAATCACACTTGAATTTAGTAAATATTTTTTGAGCATTATTTGGCGTATCTAGTCCACCTTTGTAGAATTAAAGAAAGGATAATTCTTCATATAGTACTCTCATTTTGACTTACATGGTGAATGTTCATATAATAAGTACTATTTTGAGGAATTTTTTAAAATGAAGCTTATAAAATAATAGGTTCACCATTGGACTGACAGCCAGAAAATAAGGAAAAAAAACCCCTAGACCTTTAAAAGAATGAATTTTTGATATTATATATATATACTATTATATATTATAATATATATTAATTATATATAAATATATTATATATAATGTACTATTATATATAATATATGTGTACTATTATATATATTATGTACTAATGTACTAATATATATAAAAATATATATTATATATATATATAATAGTACATTAAAACTTAGGGCTGGGGATATAGCTCAAGTGTTGAAATAAAAGTGTATGAGAATATTGTTTCAACATTAGTATCTTTTATTGTGAATAATGGGATTCAGGCCTAAATTCATAGTATATTTTTGAAAGAAAATAAAATTAATATGAAAAGCAATTCAATGTTATGAATAAATGAGCATTTTCTGTACTTTATCAAGTAGGAAATTTAGAATTCAGTTCTTAAAATATTAAGTAATTAAAATCATATTATGAAAGTTTTTCTCAAGTGAAAAGGTGAAATATTAAATGCAAATATTTGAGGTATAATTGTTATATTTAATAAAACTTAAGTAGCTATATTAAGAGACAATATTTTAATAAGCACCAGTAGCCACCATTCAAATAAACATTTTTTTTTTTTAGTATTACACTAAGCCTTAAAAAAATGTTTCATTTATTTTATTTGCATTGGTGTATTGCCTGTATGTATATCTTGAGAGGGTGTTAGAGCCTCTGGAACTGGAGTTACAGAGAGTTGTGAGCTGTCATTTTTGCTGGGAATTGAAATCAGGACCTCTGGAAGAGCAGAACATGCGCTTAACCTCTGAGTCATCTCTCCAGCCCCTAAGACATTTTTTTTTTTCAGTTATTTTGGTTTATTTTAAGACTATTTAAATTTGTAAACAATATAAAGGGTTTGAGAATTCATATTCTTTTAGAATAATAATTTCTAATTGATTTTATTCCAAACTTATAAGTTCCAGCTTGCTAATGGTACTGAAGAAGAAAAAAAAAAAAAGAATGAGGAAACTTGTTTTTATTGCTAGCTCCTCTTTCAGAGGACCTGAATAATAAAAGCAGTTGAGAGCCAGACTTGGGTTTGTTTCCATTAATTATGAGATATACAAGAATATAATAAGTGATACTCTTTTTAAGGGCTAACACGTTCCTCTCAACTCCTTCACTGTGTTGATTCATCTCATTTGGGGAAAACAACCTGTTTTCCTCTCCTCCCCTCACTGCTTCTCCCTTTACTCTCCCTCTTCCAGGAGTGAAAGAAACTAAAGAGAATATTGTAGAGAAACTATCATCACATTAAGAGATTGTTCTTTTAAAAAATACTGAGTTTCTAGACCTTATACATTATTCTTGTATAGTAAGTTGTAATGTTTCAGCTTGAGTAGTCCTTGAATAACCTGTATAATCAATGAAAGTGTTATGTATTAGGATAGTTTATAAAGCATGTAGTGTGTGTTACAAACACTCCAAGCCAATTGTGTATAGCTTTGCAAGGCTGTGTTTTGCTTGACATTGTCATGAGGAAAACATCAGTATAACTTTGTTTTGGTAAGGTTTTTCTGAAACTGTAGTGTCTAAGGGTCAATTAAATGCTTAAAGGCAGTTACGTTGTTTATAGAAATAACTATAACTTGACCATATGTGCAGCATACTTTCCATACTAAAATTTATGGCATTGTGTCATTCCTGTTCCTACAAAAAATTAAGTTTGAAGTCTACTAAAAGTTTAAATATTGATTTTTAAAAAAGTTGACGTTGGCCTTCTTTTTCCCTATTAAATTGCCATACAGTATAACAAGAATCAACAAATTTACAATTGGATTTTAATTTTAAAGATTAAAATTTCTTAACTTGTACAATTCTTAGCATTAGTGTACATTAAATATGTAAGTAGTATATATATTAAGAAATAAGGTAACTGTGTTCAGAGTGGCATATTCAGGCCCTGTATTAGGTTTTTCTGTGTCTTTGCTGCTTTTGCTTTTTTTCATTTGCTGTTCATGTCTCTGTAGTCCTCACTGTTTTTTACTCTGTGTTTTTCTCAGGATATTCAAAGCTGTA